CTCTTCGCAGGCTTGATCCCTACTTTGTTTGCGCTGGCTGCCTGATGAAAGGCGTTCCTGTGTAATGAAATACCCCTGATTAGTTCTGATCAAATAGCAAACTTCCTTTCATCTCGCCTTGCCCCGGCTGAAGGTCTCGGCAGGCAGGCCTCGGCCAGGTGTGCATCGGCTCTTTGTACCCTTGGGAGTCTTATCCCAGGGCTCTGGCAGCGTCCACACGTGCGCGCACACCAGCACCGACACGCATGCGTGCGCACGCATCCTTTAAAGAGCACAGCCAAGTCGTTCGTGTGGACCCGAGCCAAGTAACCCAAAAGTCACAGTTACAGGTTCTCTCCTTGACTGGCTCCATTTTGAAAACCAAAACACAAACCTGACTGGAGGTGGAAGCGGCTGCTTCCACAGGGCTCCCGTTGCTTTGCTCCCGAGTGGGAGATGCATTTCCCTTGCTGGTTTGGCTCTGAGAAGCATGCTCAGGTGTGGGGCTCACCAGTTAGGTCAGTGGGATGGGTTGTGCAAGGATAAAAAGCTCTTGCAGAATCACACCCCAAATTATAGATAGTGTTTGAATCCTGCTTCCTGTGCTGGTGAGTTTGGTTTACCTTGTTTGATCCCTGTTTCCTCCTCCTGCCTGTAAAATGCTTGTGGGGAAGAGCCGGGTGCTGGTGGAGCTGCCCCAGGCTCCCCATGTGAATTGTGCCCCATTTCAGGCTGATGCCTGGTACTGAGGCTCTTGCTGTGTTTGTCCAGTTGATAGCCAGCCCCTAAAGTGAGGGACCTGCTGCTGCTCAGAGCCTTTGCCACCCCAGACTCCAAACAAATGGGACTCTGATGTGGGGAAAACCACATGTCCCCGAGTCCATTTTGGGGACTGTGCCTGGGGTCTGCAGAAGCTCACAAGGTCAGTGTCTCTCTGGAGAAGACTGTGGTGGTTGCGTGACCCACACTGTCTGGTCTCCCCCTTCCCTGCAGAGGAGCAGGGAAGGTGCAGGAAATAGCTTTTGTCATGGAGAGGGTAACTAGATGTGGTGTCCTCGCCTTGGAGAAGAGCTGCCTTCAGAGGGAAGTGTCAGACTGGGGCTGCACTGAAGCAGGCGAGTGGGAAAGGTGTATTGACCGTGTCATTGCAGCGCTGGGGGACACTGTGTGAAGCTGAGCCCACCAGCAACAAAGTCTTTCGCCATAGGTGCACCAGGGAGCGGGGGAGCCCAGGGCAGAAATGCGGATGATTAGATGGATGGCTGATGACAAGGATGGGGATGTGCCATCTGGCAGCCTCCGTGTCTCACTGTGTCCACCCCAGCCTGCCTGAGCATCACGAGGAGCTCGCATGTCCTCCTGACCCAGTGCAGTGTGATGTGCCAGCCAAGCAATACTTAAAACTGTCCACAAGAGTCACTGTTGCTTTATCTAAGGAGCCTCCCTCCATTCTTCCTGCCTGTGAACTGCCTCATTTCCTCACCCCGTGGAGGCTGTGTCCAGGTCTCCATCCGTGATAACTTGCCTCAGAAACACACAGGCAAGGATTAAGACTGCCAAAGAGTATGATGGAGGGTGGTTGGTGTTGCTGCAAGAGCAACCTTTCCCATGTGCTGTCCCACACGGGTTATTTCTGTGCAAGACTCCAGCAGACAGCCCTTACCTTCCCTGGGCTTGGCTCTTTGATTTGCTCGGGGAGCACAGTGTGTGCTTTGGAGATGGGTGGCCCGAATTAACCTCTCTGCAAATGGTTTCCAAGTAACAGCAGTACATGTAGCAAGATAAACTGTGAAGCCCATTTATATTTACCAAGATTGTACTAACCTTTGAAAGGTTGACCTTATGCAAAAAAAAAAACCCAACAACAAACCCCAAAGATAAAGTGGCAAAAACATTTAGGGCATCAGGGGGGTTTGTTGTTGTTTTTAATGCTTTCAGTCTCTGATTACTTCAGCCTTGGTGGTGGTAAACATAAACCTGCTTTCAAGGCAGTCCTGATTTTTGCAGCTGTGGAGCCATTAAATCTTTGCCTGTATTAGCACTTTCAAGGTCAGCCATGATGCAAAACTCAAGGCAGCCCATCAGCTGTGTAAGAGCTGCTAATTGTCTTCATTTACTCTCCTGGTTCCTGCTAACAGACCCAGCAGCAGGGTGTCAAAGCTCCACATTGCTCCTTCAAGGCATCCAGACTGGGGTAGGGAGGGCAGGGGTTGATTTAGCTGTGCTGGCCCCAAGGGTCAAACCATGACCCCTTGGTGGGCGCCGTCCCACACATGATCATCATGTGGCTTGATATTTAAGTCCTTGATCAGAGAACATTTGTGGATCCGAGTGTCTGCTCGGCAGGGCCATCAGCCCCATCACTTGGCTGTGCCTTCTGCTGGTGCTGCCTGGAATTGAGAGTACACTGGGATGTGGGGCTGTGAGGCTTGAGCTGGGGATACTGGAGTCTGTTCCTAGCTGGTAGCTGGTGTTTTCCATCTGTAGGAGGAGTTATGAGTGCCACTTGCTAGTGCTGCCTTGGAGGTCTATTTCTGCACCAAAGCATTGAAGGTGAAGTCAAAGGGAATGAAGATGTGCAGCTCAGGCAGTGACTCTGTGTGTATCCTGTACCTCTGGTGGCTAATGAAGAAGGGAAAACAGAAGTTACAAAATCCACATGGTACTGTTAGGAACAAGAGTTAAGCCTGATGTGTTTCCTCCTTGGTGAACTAAGAATTGTGGTGCTTTCTGTAATGTTCTCCATCCCCAGACTTAGCCAGGACTGCCCCCAGTCCTCTCTCTAAGACCCTCTGCCCCTTCCCAAACCTTGCTGCTGCTGAGGTTTAGGGATTTATGGGGGAGGAGGTTGTTTTCTCCCTTCCCCATTAGCCAGGCAGGGAGAGGAATGAGGAAGGAGCAAGGGTGTCTTTTCATTCTGCTAAATCCTGCAGAACGTGCCTACATGAGACTGTTAAGCTCCTGATCAGTAATTACACGCTGCAGCTCTGCCTTTAATCGGGATAAAAGACTTAAGGAAACTGCTTTGCGCCTGGTCTCTACCTTTTACCTAGAGATTTTATTGCTGTGGATAATAGTAACAGGAACAATGGCAGGAGTTCAGCTCTTGGGTTTGTGTAGGCTCTGGGTGCTCATGCAGCCTTTCCAGCTCCCTTCTGCTTTAGTGCTGCTTCTCTTTCAGCAATTATGTCATGCTGTCTGTAGAAAGTAGGAAGAAGAAGAAAGCAGGGAGGTGTCTGGGCAGACGCTGGGTTGGTTGTGGTTGCAGTGGCCAGTTTCTCTCTTGAGGTCCTAATTCTGCAACTGGCTGAACTTTCCTGGCTGGTTTGTTTGCAGTGGTGTCAGGCACAGCCCCAAGAAAACAAGAGGTTAGGAGATACCTGATGCAAGCCCTGCTGCAATCCTGCCTCCTTATCAGCATCTCAGAGCCCCTAGGGTGAATAACCCCTTGGGAGCGTGTGTGTACTGACAGCTCCATCGCTGTTGGCCCTGGGGACCGGGGCACAGGGTGGCCTCTGCTCAGGGGAGCCACCTCCTGCCATGCAGAGCTTGACCTCAGCCCCCCAGCTTTTGGGACCTCATTGGGTTTTGCACATCAAAATGTAAAAATAACCAGTGAACAGCGTAATAAGTACAGAGCTGAATGTCTGCCTGTGTTGTGTGCTGAGCACACGGTACAGGTTTGCAGAAGTGGGAATGTATGGATGTAATGCTCAACCTTAGTCCTGGTTTTACCAACAGATGTGGGTGAAGTGCCTTTGTTTGTTGGTCTTTCTCGAAACTGGTGCGAGGTCCCAAGATAACCACATTTGCTGCTCTGAAATTGAGGCAATTCCACATTAAGGTGGAAAGCTGTGCTGCGAGCCCCTCTGGGAGTGGGGAGAGCCAGGTTTTGGATTTGAGCTGCCTCATTAATCAGTTCTCATCTTTTCTTTTTCTTTACAGAAACCAGGCAATGCGGAAAAAGTTAATTTTGTACTTTAAGAGGAGAAATCATGCTCGCAAGCAGTGGGTAAGTAATTCCCTTCTACTTCACATGTATAAAGCAGCGTAATTTATTACGTGAGAAAGAAAAGGACATTTCCCACCAGAGAGGTGCTGGCACTCAGTGCTTCTCCTGTTACATTGCTGTGGCATCTCTTATGTTTAAGATAACTCGGATGAAGGAGAGGTGCCTGATCCTGCTGCAGGCAGCACCTCCCTCCAGAAGTATCCCCTGTGGAGCCAACACATGGGGTTGGCTTAATCACAGCGGAGCCCTTCATTGATCTCAGAGAGCCTATTCACAGCGTAAATGTCTATTTTGTGAGTAATTGAACCCAAAGAGAGGTGTGAAACAAGCTGACTGTGCTTCTAATAAATGGTCTGAAGACTGATCTGGCTATTTCCAGCTGACCACAGGGCAATGTTCTAGGAATTTGTGGTTTAAAATAAAGATCCAGCTCTGCGCCAGTTTGTTTCTAGGCAGCTTTGCCTGCAAGATAGTTCCAGCATCCTTTGAGGAGATGGTTCTCAGTTAAGTAAGGGGCAAGGAGGGATTTATTATGAGACTTCAAAGGCATTTGTTGCAAGTCCTTAGTAAATAGAGGAGAAATTTGAAGTGGGATTTACAGAATTACATGGTTTTGTTGCCTGTGGTAGTTGCCAGCAGGAGCTGGGAGGCAAAACCAGTGCAGAAGGGGAAATAGAATCACAGAGTAGTTTGGGTTGGAAAGGACCTTAAAGCTCATCCAGTTCCAACCCCCTGCCTTGGGCAGAGACACCTTCCACTAGAGCAGGTTGCTCCAAGCCCCTGTGTCCAACCTGGCCTTGAACACTGCCAGGGATGGGGCAGCCACAGCTTCTCTGGGAAGAAGCGACCAACAGCCCCACCAGGAAGGTGGATTTTGTCTTTCCATGAAGGCTGATTCAGCTCAGCGCAGGGCTTCTTCACATTTTACATGGAAGGTGCAAATCCTGGTTCCTGACTCACTGTCTGTTCTGGGGCAGGCTCAGGCGCTGGTGTTGCCAGTGGTGCAGGTTTTGTCAGCGGCTTCAGTGCTGGTTTTGGACAGAAATGCTCCAGCTTGGAGGAATTGCTGGAAAAATTCAGAATAATAAGCCTGGGAAGTGGTTTGAAGGCCCTGCCTTTAAAAGTAGCTTTCAGTACTGGTATTTCTGAGCCAGAAATCAAATTATTTTCTTATATATGGTGAATAAGGCATGTTCTTTTCCTTTCCCATGCCTCATTCCCTCCCCCCCACCATTTTATAGCAACCTTCCAAAAGCCACGGATCCTGCACTCCAAAGGCATAGTTGTGTCTCCTGTTTGTATCCAAATCCATGATAAAATTCCTCCCAGGTTTCTAGCAAGGGGCTACAGATCTTATACCTTCAACATGATGCAGTGTGGGCAGTTGGGTGCTGCTCAGGGCACCTTGCCTGCTGCTGCTGTCGACTTGGGCAGTTGTGGGAAGCGGATTGATATTCCCTTCCTCAAAACAGGGATTGTAAAGCATCGTGTGGTTTTACTGGAACCTGAAGGGCAGTGCCCAGGAGCTGCTTTCTGGTGGAAACAGCCGGTTACTGCGCTAAATCTAGAGTGAGTCGTTCTGTTGTGAATATCAAGGAGCTGGGGGAAAAGGTTTAATTAGGCTGCAAGAGCATGGTTCCTAAAATACGGCGTGCAGTGAAGTCGCCTGTCATGCAAAATAGGTGAATTTCTGCCAGCCGGTTTATTCAGTGTCCTTGAAAGGGGATTTTTCAGTTTAGGGAAGCATTTTGCCTATTCTACAAAATAGGCAACATACGGTTGCTGAATTTGCAAAGTGAATACATTTGCTGATTCTGTTTGCAAAATGGGTTCGCTTAGCTATTTTTCTGCCTATTTTGTAGCAGACCCTATTTTTAGCAAAGCCCATCTAGTGCCAGTGTTTCTTTCTGGCTCTTTTACTTTCTGGGGTGTTATCGCTGCCCAGGACTGGCTGGAGCAGGGTCAGAGCTTGGCCCCAACAGGCTCCAGCCCTGGGAGCCCCACCAGAGGATGTGCAGGGCTTCCTCCTGCCTCCACCGAGGTTGGTTGATGTAATTGTCATCAGAGGGGTGATGCTGCAGAGAGAAAAGGGTAAAGGGGGATGTTTTGAGTATAAGACGTTCATCTCCATCAGCCAGGGAATGAAAACTGTGGGGTTCATATAGATATTGGACTCGTTCCTCCTGTTACCTTCACTCTTCCCCTCCTCTCCAACGAGCTGCTCCGTTCCCTGGAGCTGTGAGAGCGTGGGCTGCGGGAGGGCTCGGGCTTGGCACAGCCTACAAACTGCCTTCAGCTGCTATGGCAGCGTTACTATTCATCCATTTTTAGACACGCATGTCAAGTCCGATTTGGCTTGCCATCACTTACTTGTGTGATTGAGAGGCTGATGGGCTGGTGAGCCCGGCCGGGAAGGGGGGCAGAGGAAGCACCGATGCTAAAAGCTGGCACAGATGATTGCTCAGGAACGGACACGTTCGCTTAAGGCTGCTCAGAGGATGCTTAAAGAAGAAGGAATAGACTCCTAAAGTGCCTGACCAGGAGCTTCTCCTGGTGATCGAGCTGTGAAGATCTAGGGAATGCACAGTGCTCTAAGGTGCCTGTAATTTTGGCTTTCGAATGATGGCAAAAGATTGCAGGGAGGATGTATCCCAGCTGGACCAAAAAGCGCTAGACAGGGATGCTGCAGCCCAGCCCCGCTGTGGTGGGGTTTGAAACTTGAGTGGCAGGGAAGATCTCTTTGCCCCATAGTGGGAAGGGGCTTTAAGAAAGCAGATGCAAGCTAGAAGTGCTCAGCCAGTCCGTAACAAAGCCATGCTCTTGCAGGGCTGAGCTGTGTGAGTGGGGAGCTTTGGTCCTGCCCACCCTGCTGCTGGGGTGTGAGCTGCTGGGGAAATCAGCAGCGTGACGTTGACGTTGCTTTTTCTATCTGCAAATATCAGTTCCTTAAAAGAGGAATTCTGCATCAAGCTTTCATCGAGTTGTCCCAAAGAGTGCAGGAAAAGGAAGAAAAAGAACTGGCAGTGAAGCAGCCTGGCGGCCGTGCCAAGTGGCAGCAATGTGGGACCCAGCACCAGCTCATTCCCACGGGGAGCAAAAGACCTTTCAAAGCCTCGAAGCTTCTCACCAGACCAAGCCCTCCTCGTGCTGGGCCGTCCCCTGGCTGTGCCATAGGCTGGCACACAGTACAGAGCACCCGCTGCATCCCAGCACTGAGGCTTCATAAACTTTGCAGGGTATTTTTGCTCTGAAAGCAGGAGGCTGGAGCAGATTTGCTGGCAGGATGGGAGCTCTTGTGTTCAGGGGTCTGAGAGCATCACTCCAGGAGGGGTAGGAATGCAGCAGCTGGGATTTCTCTGAGCTGTCGCCGTTTGTTGGCATTACCTATAGCATGAGATTTCCCTTGGTGGCATTTAGGGCATTTTTATTCTTGTTCTCATTCCTCACTTCCATCTTTTGGCTGTTTCCTTTAGCTCCTCTAGCCAAAACCCAAGCATCTCCTGTGCATCCCTGTGGGGTGGGAAAGCCTCTGGCTCTGGGTGTGCAAATGGGATTTAGTTTATTTGGGGAGGGGCAGTATTAGTCCACATCAGCTGCAGGGTTTGAGGAGCTTTGTCCACCCCACGTTATTGTTGAGGTGCCTCCAAAAGGCCATGGGGATCACAGGATGTGCTGCTGCACTTGGGTTATTGCCTGGTCCAGTGCCGGTGCCGAGCTGCCTGTTCTGGAAAGCAGAACGACCTGGGGTTTGCCATTGGTGGTTTTGCAGAGTGACATCTGCTTTCACTTCCTGATCTGGGGCATAGAAGGCATTTGTTTCACTCAGACTGAAACCTTAAAACCCCCTCTGGTCACATAGCTGCTTTCACGTGAGGCTGGACACCATCACTCCATCACTCTGCTCCATCATTCCATCACTCTGCTGCAGCCATCAGGGACCATGGCTGGGCATCAACTTGGTGTGGACCTCGCCTGCCCATTGGCATTCTCTTCCAGGAAGAGAGTGGCCAGAGGAGCGATTAGGGGCTGGTTTGGGGAGGCTCATTTGTGTTTTAAGTGATATTTCAATGTCATGGTTGCCGGCCAGTCCTATCAATATGAGGCAGAAGTGCAGTGCTGGACCTGTGCTGTGTAGCTGGGTGGGTGTGCCATGAGGACATCACCCAGGAGGACCTGGCATGGAAACCCCATGCAGAGCCTGGGTTTGCCATCAGTGGGGATGTGCTCATCCTGCTTCTGGGCCGAAAAGGAGGAGCAGCACTAGAGAAATGCTCCTGCTTTCCAGGATGGTGGAGGAGCTGGTGGCATCACCACAGTGTGTGGCCTCAGTCAGCCATGCTGGGTGAGAGTCCTGCTTCACCAAACATGCTGGGGCTGGAAGGGCAAAGCCTGAGGGTACCTGATGGCCTATTTTGAGCATTTACCCTGGGTTTGATCACAGACCCTGGAGCATGTCCGTGTCCTAATGAACCATATTCCTTTAAGCACCATGACTCAACGCTCAGCCTGAGCAGCCATCGAGGGACAGGCCTGGAGGAGCTGCCCTTCCCAGGCACGTCTCCTGAGCTCCCTCTCTCCCTCTGCCCTTTCAGGAACAGAAGTTTTGCCAACGTTATGACCAGCTGATGGAGGCCTGGGAAAAAAAAGTGGAGCGCATTGAGAATAACCCACGGCGCCGCGCCAAAGAGAGCAAAGTGCGGGAATACTATGAGAAGCAATTCCCGGAGATCCGGAAGCAGCGGGAACTGCAAGAGCGCATGCAGAGGTTAGAGGAGAAGCGGTAGGAAGGGGCTGAGCTGGTATCAGACAGCCTTTCTCTTTTCTTTGGGGATGGGCATGGGGATTGTTTGTGGGAGGAGTGGGCTGGGATGGCTCAGTCCCTTTTCTCCCTGTCTGGTCAAAGCAGAAGCCAGCAGACAAGCAGCTTTGCTGCTTTTCCCCCAAGGTCGCTCAGCACAGAGGCCAAGAGAGAAGGAAGAATGTCAGGAATGTGGTTGCCTGTCTCCCCTTTGCTGCTGACCTGCCAGCTGGCCACGCTGGAGCAAGGGGCAGCTCTCCTGTGCTGGCCGGCTGGCTGGGATGGTGCTAACTGCTGCCTTACTGGTGGGCCCAAACTAAGATGTACAAGACTTGCAGATGCATTTGGCCATGCTGATGATTTAATACATGCACATGCTTTGATCAGAGCATGGGCAGGGATGAGAAACATCTGCAGAAGTTATAGGAATGACTACAAATGGTACGAAGTGAGCAGAATGTCCTCTGTCTGTCCCATCCCCTGTCCAGTTTTTCATCCTCATTGGAAGCACAATTCGAGGTCATGTTTCTTGCCAGAAGGAGACATAAATTCATGATCTCACTATCCTTCCCGTTTCAGTCCCAGGATCTTGCCCAGGGATAGCTGATGTGTGCAGAACCCAAATCCCTTTGCCAGCATCCCATCCTTATGCCCCACTAACAGCTAGATGGGTCCAAACTTCCTAATCGGTGGCTTTATTTTGTCTTAAAGAGACGGGGAGAAATGGTACTGAGAAAGGAATGTTTTAATTTGTTACCTGCTTAATAAGAAAAGTTTTAATTCCCTGGGACATGTGGCTGTTACATTGAGTGATACTGGGGGGGGATAGATGTCAGTGGCTGGTTTTGATTTAAAACTTCCCACAGCATTTGCAAACCAGATGCAGTGGCACAGTGCTAATGGCTTGGTGCTAATGATGATGCCTTTATGCTGTTGCTGTGGTGTAATGAGCAGGAGAAAATACAGGGGAGAATATGGTTGGGTATGAAATGTCCTTCTGTTGTAGCATTCCAGGAGGTTGGCACAGGTAAGGAAGGTGGTTTGAGGCTCTTGGCCTGTGAGCCTAAACCTGGGGATCACAGAGGATGGTGCTGTCAGAGCCCATCAGGCTGCAGCAGGCAGGCACCATCCCTGCAGCATGGGATGAGGTGGTATGGATGGGGTATTGGATGAGGCCGTGATGGGGGTCAGCAAGGAGGACAATAGGGCTATTGAGTTGTCACAAATGTGTTTTGCTGCTTATGAAATGGAGCATCAGTGTCTGAGTGTTTCACTGCCCTTTCCCAGCAGGGTAGGACAGAGGGGCAGCGGCGGGCTCTCCATGTCAGCTGCACGCAGCGAGCATGAGGTGTCAGAAATCATCGACGGGCTCTCTGAACAAGAGGTGAGACCAGGTTGTCCTTTCTCCTCCTCTTCACTCCTCACTCCACTCTTCTCTGAGGAAGACAAGAGAGTACGACCAGGTCCCACAGTGAAATCGGATACAAATCCCACTAAGTTCAGGCCACACTGAGGTTGGGGAGGATGCCGTGATGCTTAATACGCTTTCTAGACAGGATCCAAAGTGAGGTGTTCATTTAATACCCAGCAGCATCTTTCCAGCCACCCAAGACAGGCAACAGGGCTGTGGAATGATTTTTTAGGAGCAAAGCACCTCAGGAGCTGGTGGCAGTGGGTAGGATTTATCAGCATTCAACTGCCTCTTGGGGACCTGAAACCTCAGGATGCTGCTCATCCCGGGTAGCACGCCACAAACCTCCTGGCCGTTGGTTTAAACTGGAATTGGAGGTGGGAAGGGAAAGGAAGTGAGCCAGCACCCTGGCTGCTGGGTGGAGGGGTTTTTCTGTTTCGTTTCATTTTGTTTTGAATGGGTTGTGTGGCTCGACACAGGGGAATCCTATGGAATGAATGGTTTGTACGTGAGCCAGTTGGCCCACATCTTCTGGGAGTGCTCCATTCATCTTGAAACATCCCCGTGACCTTGGCTTCGTTTGGATCTGGTTTCACAAGGGTTCCACTCTCTTGGCACAGAGGCGAGCTGCAGTGAATGGATTGCGTTTGGGAGGGGAGAGCAGCCATTGCCCAGCAACAGCTGAGATGTTTGCAGCCTTTGCACCACGGGTCGCTCCCTGCCCTGGGTCCCAGGCAGTTGCTGCTGGCCAGTGAAGGCAACGACCTGGAGGACACGGATCTCGGAAGCAGAGAGAAATTTCACAGCTCTGCAGGTGTCATGGCCAAGAGGAGTGTTAGATGATTGCCTCCAACCTCCTGCGCAGTGAGCGTGCTGCTGAACTGCACCGTGATGGCCTTCTGCTGAGCACAGGGCACTGCTGTGCTTGTCTCAGAGGAGCTTCCAGCCCTTTCACAGGGTAGGAAGGAGAAGGGAGGTGAGAGCCAGGGAGCATTGCTGGAGGCAGGGGCCAGCTCTCTGCCCCAGCACATTGCTGGGGAGAGGAGCGAGGTCTGGCTGCCTGCTGCAGGGTGTCTCTGCACCCTGACACCCTTCCAGGCACAGGGAGAGGCCCTGCTGCAGGCACTGCTCCTGCCTGCTGCCTCTCTGCTGCCCTGGCTTTCTCCTTTTGGCTGGGTCACTCTGCGGCTGCCAGGGTAGATGCTCTGGCTGCGAGCTGTCCCTGACCTCCCACGATGAGATGGCACCCCCAGGGCATCTGAGCAGACGGTTGCTAAATGAGAGGCATCCTAGTGAGGGTGAGGAACGTGATGGGATGAGTTGAAATGTTCCTCTGTGTGCAGAGAGCTGTGTTTTAGGGAGAGGAGGATGGGCCTGATCAGTCACAGCAGGGAAGCAGAGTGGTGCTGGGCAGGCCTGGTTGTGGAAAGGATTGGACATTACTCTTATCCCAGGAACCAGCATCCAGCTGTAAATTAAATTAACAGCACATGAGACCTGGCCTTCCTGGGTTAAGGGTTGGAATTTATATCTGACCAGTGCCATTGCAGGGCACAGGGAGGACTCAAAGTGGTGGTGTTGTTAGCAAAGAAAGAGGGTGATCAGAGCATCCCCCTGTGCCAGGGGACCAGCAGTAGCTCAGCCAAAGGGACTGTCCCAGTGTTGGGGCAGGGGACAGCAGAAATGAGACATCACATTGGCCACTCTGTTGCAAATACTTAAGGAAACCAGCGTGCCCAGTCTGTCCTGTCCGTGTGTGCAGCCAGGGTTCTCGATGAACTTTGTGCTTGAATAGGATGGAATAAAGGCATCAGATTATGTCTCAGGATGTTGCAGTGAGAGGAAAGACAGGAATGATGGCCCTGTTACAGTGACATTTGCAGCCTCCTGGAACAATATTAGGTTTCCTGTGGAATGGAAACACGACGTCTCCCTCTGCCCTCCCTTTCAATAGACTGCAGAGCTGATCTGCTTCCCTTGGAATTTGGGGTGGGGGGCCGAACCCCTCCATGTGGCCATGGGTTTCATGGCTGGAAGAGGTTTGCATTCCCTGTGCCACTGCTGCTTTGACTTGTCTTGGTCATGGTCAGGAGCTTTTTTGCTTAAGTCAGACATTTCCACACGGTATCTTCAAGCCTTTCATTTCGAACTGAAAGATAATTATTTTCTGGCTGACAGCAATAGCCTCTTTCAGCACTTAATTTACAATTACTCCAGCAATAAAGCTGTCTGGTGCTTGCTTTTGAATTCTCCTGCTCCTCCGCCTGTCCTTTCCTCTCGAACATCTGTCCCCTTTGGTCCCACGGGCCCATGGTGCTGACCAACTGTTCTCTCTGCTTTCCCCAAAGAACCTGGAGAAGCAGATGCGCCAGCTCGCCGTCATCCCACCCATGCTCTACGATGCTGACCAGCAGCGCATTAAATTCATCAACATGAACGGCCTCATGGATGACCCCATGAAGGTCTACAAGGACCGGCAGGTGATGAACATGTGGAGCGAACAGGAGAAGGAGACCTTCCGGGAAAAGTGAGTGTGTGTAGCCCTTGGGAAGTGCAGGCAGGACCCGTGCAATGCTTTGGCCAGAGCCCCAGCTTGCTGAGGCACGCGTTTCCCAAAGGAAATGGATTTTCCCCAAGGATACAGCCATAATCTCTGTGTTGCCTTGGGCCTGAGCACAGGGTGATGCAGCTGCACAGAAAACTCGGGTCTTTTTGTATGGTTGGTGTGGTCGTGTGCCTGAGCAGAGCTGCTGCTCATGGCAGGGTGAGAACTAGAAGTTTTTCTGCTTCTGCATCCCCCATCAGCCAGCTTAAGGATAACACCAGCGAAACCCAGTGCTCCATACGCTCATCTGATTTTGGGTTTACGTGCTGTCCTTTGGGCGCTGCGTGTCCAGGGGGATTCTCAGGGCTGTCAACATCCGACTCCCCCATGTAGACCCCCTCAGGCTGCAGCTTCCAGCTGGTGCCAGTCCCTCGGCACTCCATCCTGCTGTCTGCAGGATTTGCCACCGGCTGCTGTTTCCATGGATGCATTCCCACATCAGACACATGCAAACTCTGGCTGCGGTGCTTTCCCTGTTTGCAAGCAGTGCTGGAGAACAGCTTCACTTTATCAGCTGAGATCACTTGGGGGATTGTTGATCCCTTGGGTACCACTGTGCTGTCAGCCAAGCTGTGGGTCATGGCTTAGTCTCACATCCAGACTCCCCTGTATTTCATAGCCCAGCGGGGACCCAAATGTGTGCATGGAGAGGACTAGAGCATCCTTGGTGCCCCAAATGTACCATATGTGTCTGTAAAAGCACAGCTGGAGTTCAACTCCACCTCGCTGCTGTGGACATGAGGGACATGGAGGTATGTGGGTGCATCACAGCCACCTCATCCCTTGCAGCAGCAGTGCCTTAATCTGGCCTCCATACGATCATGGGATAACTCCATGCATAAGCAGCAGGCCCACAGCCAGCCATGCTGGAAGCTTCTCCATGTCCAGGATCCCTCCTCCTGTCCCTGCTTGTGACGACTCCTGTTTGCTGCTGAAATAACTAATTGCCAAGACAGACCGAAAGAGAACAAAACAAGCAAACCGCCTCCAAGCCTTTGGTAGAGGAGAATCCTCATTACTAATTAGCCTTAAAATGTGACACCCCAAACAGCAAGGCTTGCCCGCAAATGACGCAAAGACTAATTGCTTGGTCTTTAATGGCGGGGCCGTGCCTGGCTAATGGGGCTGGAAGAATCCACACCCAGCTCATGCATCCTGCTGTGCACGGTGGTTTCTGTGTCATCACTGTGGGTGATGCAGAGCTTGAGGCATAAATACAGCAGGATTTCAGGGCTCTCACAAAGCTCATTTGAAGAGATTGGTACTTAGGAGCTGTAAGGAGGGCCACAGGTCCTGCCCCAGCTCCCACCCCAGTCCCAGTGTGTGGGTAGCTGAGCTGCCTGGTGTGCTGCAGCTTCTAGCCTGGGTTTTTGAAGTGAACCAGAGTTGTGTCATCTGTGACTGTGACCCAGAGCTGGCCTCTTCCTGGGACCATGAAAACCTGATGCAACCTTTTATTCAGCCCTCATGGTGAGGGCTCTTGGGAGAAAACAGCCAGGCACTGCAAGGCTGACAAGCTCCAGGTCTGAACTATCGTAGCTGTCAAAACGTAACCACGAGCAAGAGTCTGATTTGATTTGCTTCTGGGCAAGATTTCAGATCTCTCTATTGAGAGCTTATCACCAGCCTGCTCCGAGGGGGGCCGTGGTTTGCTGACGAAGGCTGTTCAGGCCCTTGGTCCTGCTCAGGCATCAAGGCCTTGTTGTGCTGGGCACCAGGAGAACACAGCGTCCGTCCCTTGTTATGGGGACACAGTCTGGCTTATGAAAAACAATGTATTGTTGTCTGCATTGCTCACAATGCTCTGCTAGCATCACTGATAACATGGCCTTGAAAACCCTGTCTGTTGGATTGTGCTGGGTACAGCTCTATCTCTGTGCTCTGATTCCAGCCTGTCTGAGCAGCCCAGCTCTTATCTTTCCCCTCATCCCCAGCATTTCTGTTTTCTTTTTTCTTGCTTATTCACATGTCTTTGGCATCTCTCTTGGTGTCTGTATTATATCTGGGGGGTAACTTTTACCCTTCAAGACGCTCAGTGGTAGAAAGGCTACAGCTGCCTGTGGAATAGAGACTGGGGACCACATTAAGCACCCACACCACAGCTTACCCACCTCTTCCCTTTGATCCATTTCTATGGGGCACAGAGCTGGCAGCTCCACAGAGCTGACAGACCACATTGGGCTGACCCTGGTCACTCCGCTCCTGGAGGAAAAGCCCATGCTGGTGGCAGCCTCTCCACCATGGCCAGTGCTGTGCTCCAGCCTGGAGCAAACTCACCACTCCACGGGGTCCCTGTGCTTTGGTGATGCACTGGTTAACCATCCTTCTGCCAGCAGGAGCTCCTGCCAAGAGCTTGCTGGCCTGAGGTGCTTCCCCACCAGCTAGGCAAAGAGATTTGTTGGAGGAGACATCTCTGTGCCTGGGGACATCTTCCCCCAGTGGGTGATGCACCCTCCTGGGCTGCCGGAACCAGGGGCAAGCCTGCTGACAGCTCCTCTGCTTGCTGGGCAGGAGGCAGCATTCCTCAGAGCCACTGTGGCACTGGGGATCTCTTGAGCAACTCAGCAACGTGGCAGCTTCCTCCTGGGGTTTGGGTTTCCCTTCCTGTCCTCTGCAGCTGCTCCTGACAGCCCAGCCAGGCTTGGGGTCCTGCTCAGCAGCAGGGGCACCCCCAGCCAGTGCTTCGGCATTGACAGTGATTCTTCACCCTTCCCTTGCCAAATCCTGAAGCCTCAACCATGTGTGCAGCTGCCCTCTGTGCCCATCTGCCATTGGTATGGGCTTGGGTGGCGCTGGGATCAGGCTGTTGTGGGGCAGCCCCACTGCCCTCTCCCACCCTGTGATGAACATCTGCTCATCAGAGCCGCTGACCAGCCCGGCTCCACTGGGCTATATTTGAAGTTCCTGTCTTTCTGGGAAGCTGAGCAGCACACAAGTATTTTCTCAAACCCCTGAGTCCCTCAGGGAGCTGCCCTTGCTGCTCCAGGCACATAGAGCATGGCAGCCCAGCTGCAAGGGGGTCAGAGCCAGAGCCCATGCTAACCCTTTTCCTCTCACTCCTTCAGGTTTATGCAGCATCCAAAGAACTTCGGCCTGATCGCATCCTTTCTGGACAGGAAGGTAAGCATCCCTGCCTGGCTTTAACCTGCCTCACGCTGTCTCTTCTCCATCACATGTCTCCCCTTGGTGCTGAGAGCATGGCAGCCCAGCTGCAAGGGGGTCAGAGCCAGAGCCCATGCTAACCCTTTTCCTCTCACTCCTTCAGGTTTATGCAGCATCCAAAGAACTTCGGCCTGATCGCATCCTTTCTGGACAGGAAGGTAAGCATCCCTGCCTGGCTTTAACCTGCCTCGCGCTGTCTCTTCTCCATCACATGTCTCCCCTTGGTGCTGGGCCAGCCAGTGGATGCTGGGCACCTGTGGGTGGTGGTGGCTCAGAGCCCCAGGCATGGTCCAGATGCCTCCTGGCTCCCTACAGAGACAAGGGACTGAGTCAGCTTCAGGGAGCTCAGAGCCGGGAGATGTGTGAACGCATCCAGCCTGGCTCGTAGGCGTTGCAGCCCTCTGTGATCTGCCTGGGGAGCTGCTTCCCAGCACCTCCTGGAGCATCTTGCACCAGCCAGGCTGTCACATGGCGGGGTGGGTACCCAGCTGCCCAGCACAAAGCAGAGGGGTCCCCTCTTTGCTCAGGTCAGGGATGTTGAGGGTGGGCTGAGTCCCAGTTCTTCCAGCTGTTTGGGTTGGTGTCATGTAAGCACACACACCTCCCCTTGGTGTTTAGCTCACAAGAGGGCCTGACCTTTCCCAAGCCTCTGTGTTGTGCTTCTGGGACTTTGCCTTTTTAATGATGGAAGAAAGGTTTGAAAAAGAGATCTGAAGGAAGAGCGAGTCTCTGTTCCCATTCTGAGCAAGGCCAGGTACCTTCTGTGGAACTAGTCATATGGGCAGATCCTGGACAAACAGCCTGGAAAGACGGTCATGGACCAGGTGCTTTCCTGAGCAGGAAGCATTTGAGAGCTGCTGCTCCTCAGGTCCCTGTAGTTAGCTGCATCCTCTACCCATCTCATGCAGTGTTTCATCCACACAGTGTCCAACCCCTCTGCTTTCAGGGGGTGACCTGCAGAGGTCCCGTCCACCCTAAGTTATTCTCTGATTCGGCATGATTCAGGCTGGGGAAATAATTTATAAGGCCTTGCCATTCCTGTCCAAAGCAGCAAGCAAGCAAAGGCCAGCAGCAACCTTGTGCTGCTGCTGTTGCTGTAAGATCCCGAGCTCTTTCCAGCCTTTCCCACTTGCTAAAGCCGAAAGCGGTGGGACTTGGATGATGCTCACAATCCAGCCTGTGTTCCAAGCTGTAAAATGTCTTCTAATTTTATTTGTACTCATTTGTAAATCAGGCTGTAATTATGATACAGAACACATCCATTATCCTGTTGGAGAGAGATGCAAAGTATGGCTCAATGTAATGAATTAATAGATTTTTAAATTGCATTATAAAAAATAGTGATCTTAGCCCTTGGAACAGATGACTGTAAGTTTTTGTGTTCGTGTGTGTGTGTATAATCAGGGCTAGATTAGAAAGAGATCCAATTAACACTTTAAAAGTTGCAATCTGTTTTTGCACATGGTTCCACTCCTTGCACAAGGATAGGGAGAGCGCAGTCCCTGGGAGCACGCAGCAGCACCCTGCTCCTGGGTGCTTCCAGGCATGATGGGTCTGTTCATGCAACCATTGACCCTGGGTATGAAGGTGTAGCCCAAGACCAGTGTTCAGGTACCCAGACAGTTCAGGAAAGGATTTTTCCCAGCATGGAACACTCTGTTCTGCTTAGGATCAGGATATGTCCCAGCAATGGTTCCTTGTTTTCCTAATGTGTCCAATCTGGGATGGTGCTTATAGACTTGAAGTTGGGATGGTGGCCCCTGCATGCCAGGATCTCAGTCTGACCATGAGAAAGTCGAATGAACTCGAGCCAGTGAGCTTAACATCTGGAAATAGCACCAGCTGACAGTTGCATGGCAGGTTGTGCCTCACATAACCACGACAGAGGGTGACAGGCAGCTCTCCTGCTTCTGCCTTTAGTTGCCACTGTCATCTGCCGTCAGCCCTTCCCCGTGCTCGGTGTCTAACATTGGGTGCTCTCTGCTCTGCACCCCATCTCCATCTCAGCATGCCTGTGGGATGGCCCCACTCTGTCCCTTGGAAGAGCTCAGCATTTTTACTAGGACAACACATGTTGCCCCCTCTTCCAGCTCTGAAGGGCTTGGGGAGGGAGGTGTTTGGGCTGCACATGTCCGGAAGCAGCAGAAGACCTGCCGATGGCAGGGCCTGAACGCTGCTCCTGGAAGTCTGCGCCCTGATGGTGCAATGGGATGTGGCCTGCTGTTCCCTGACTCGCTGTGTCCTTGCAGACGGTGGCAGACTGTGTCCTCTATTACTACCTGACCAAGAAGAATGAGAACTACAAGAACCTTGTAAGAAGGAATTACCGGCGGCGCGGGAAGGGCCAGGTAAGAGCTGGAGGAGTGCATGGAAACGTCGGGCTGAGCGCTTTGCACTTGCAGCTTCTCAGCAGCACATTCTGAGAGCACCCCAAATGCTGCTTTCCTTCCCTCCCCACATGGAGGTCCTGCTTGCAGACTGCGATAGGGCTGTGGTTTTGCTTTGTGTAGCTTTTCAGAACATGCTGTTTTCTGGCGGTTGATGTTTGTCCGTTCCCATGCCAAGGTCACAGTAGCTTTCAAAAAGCAAATAACAAACCCAAGATGCTTGAGAAAGGGGATGGAGTGAATGCAGAAAACCTGGCTGCGTGTCAGGAGTAGCACAGGGTTGCCCGTGCAGCCTGTGGCTCTGGGTAAGAACCAAGTGCAGCCTCTTCTCCCTCCCCTCTGGAGACAGCAGCCAGTGTGCTGATGGGGATGGGGCTCTCAGGTGCTGGGCTGGGGTGCTTCTGCCTTGCACCTATGTGAAGAGGAGAAAGCTGGGTGGCTATGACTTCTGGTGACGCATGAGCAGAGGCGTATATGTCTATCTGAAGTGCTGGAGGGTGTCTGAAGTCCTTTCGGGGGCTGGCAGATTTGGTGCTGTAGCTGAAGGAGACCCTTAACCCTTTGGATAAGGACCGAGCAGGTTCCTAGGACACCATGAGATGCTGGGCGTAGGTGACCGAATCAACCCTTGGCCGTTACCGTGGCCAAGACAGAGATCTAGACATAACCATGCCAGTGTTGCTGCTGATACCGCAATAGCCAGATAAGTGCTAACCTCTTGGCCAGGTACCTTGTCCCTGAAAATGCTTTCAGCCAGAGGAAGGTCCAGCTGGTGGATCCACAGGTCCATGAATGAACAATTATCCATGTCATGAGGAGAGGTGACCACAAAGGAAGTATCTTTCCAGATAACATGGGGATAGGGATGGAAAAACTGGCCTGGCCTGTGCCACCACTGACATCAGTGGCTCCTCATGCTGCATGGCCATAAAAAGCAGCACTTGGGTCGAGGTCCTGATTGGGAGGCAGATAGGTAGCCTCACTCCAATTTGATTTCTGCAGCATTAAGACAGCATTAAGAATAGCTAGCACATGACGAATGTCATGGACAGGGCCCAATTTTCCCTTCTTTTTTTCAGACACATTAGAGATGGATAAAGCCCTATTAGATTATCCAGTCCCTCTCCCAGCAAACACAGGGTGGTTCCCTCCAGTACATTTTTATAGTGTTTACCATGGTCTGTTTTGTTAGATCACAGCAACTGGAACATGAGGCCACATTTGTTTCTTGTTAGCAGTGGAGACATTTAGCACAGCAAATTCTGGTTTCAATGTGAAGTTGAGCAAGTGTGGAGGGAGAGAGGCAACCTAATGCTCTGCTCTGCATCTACCTACCTCCCCTTGTGGCCACAGACCTGCTTTGGCATACACCCAGCAGGTACTATGTGTGTTTTGGGGTTTAAAAGTGTCCAAAGCATCACTAACTGCAGTATTTGCCAGGGTGCTTTCCCCAGTTTAGGAGTCTGGTCCAGCCTGGGCAATGGAGATCGTGTGCTGCTGTTTGGAGCCTCATTCAGTGCCAGCCTTTGGGAGCAGGGACTTACTGCATCCCATAGTACTTACCTTACAACTGTAGTAAAAGGCAGGACTGTTTTTGCAAGCAGGGCACAGCAATATTAGTAACTCATTAAGAGTGAGGCTGAAGGGAGCAGATTGCACGTCCCTGTAACCTCACAGTCTGGGCTGTGCTGGGGAGCAGCGGTGTTGGGCTGATATTATTAACCCAGTCTCAGCCACCAGAGATGGTGACAGGATGAAGGACAAGAGACATGGTGGGACAGCGTGGGGATGGGCAGCATGCAGGGAGAAAACAGGGCTGTGAACTGTCTTCCTGCAGCATTGGGAGACATGGGGCTGTGTTCCCAGCACTCCTCATGCTCCAAGCACAGG